AACGAAATCCCAGGTCCATGGGAATTAGGACTATATGAATTTCTACAGTGCTTCTCCATTGTACATGGGAAAGAGGATCTCAATTACAAATACTACAGGCAAATTCAGAGGTATTAGTTATAATATGCTGTATGGATGTAAAAATATCAATTTCAAAACGGACATACCTATATGAACAGAAAGCTTTTCTGAATTGCCTGAAAAAGTTCAGCAAGCAAGAGTCAATGAGGAATAGCAGATAAGTCAGTCTCTGGTGTCATCCAAACTACATTTTAACTATGATCCAGCAGAGCTGACCTCCCTGCTGCTCCTCACATACAGCACTCCATCTTCATGCCTAGCTGACTGGGATGTCCTCTTTACTTCCACTTTAGTATTCATTTATTCCAGATTCAATTCAAACACCACCTTTCAACATGAAGCCTGCCAGTACTGTTCCCCCTACCCCCCCTAAAAAAACACCTTTGTATTTATTCTATATATAATTAAATATCTGTGTGTCTCCCCTTGTAGACAGGTTTCTTAAGAGGTAAGACTGGGGGCAGCTAGGTGGCGCAGTGGATAGAGCACTGGCACTGAAGTCAGGAAGACCTGAGTTGAAATCCGGCCTCAGACCAAACACTTGACACTTACTAGCTGTGTGACCCTGGGCAAGTCACTTAACCCCAACTGCCTCAAAAAAAAAAAAAAGCTTAAAAAAGAAAAAGAGGTAGGACTGTTTGATTCCACTTGTCTCTGTATCCCCAGTGCTTAGCACAGTGCCTGAAACACAGCAAGTACTTAATAAATGTTTGTTGGTTGAAGTGATATAGTCTCATTACCTAGAATTTCACAAAATTTTTATTTCAAGTTAAATTTTCAGTGTTTTCTATAGTTGAGCTGATCACTTTATATGTCTAAAAACTATATAAGAGTTATGCAAAAGGACAAGAACCTAAAATATGGGAACTTATCACTAGCAATATAGATCATCTGTCAAGTTCTAATAGAAAGATGCTTAACTTTCACCCAGAAAGTACCACTGATTTTAATTACCACCAGCATTTATATCATATTTAGATGGATATGAAGTATTTCATTTGAAACAGTCATTGTTAATGGTATTTTCTGACATTTTCTCACTGGCATACAGAGTTATCTTTTCCACTAACATCATTCCCTAAAGGCTGTTATAACAAAATTAAAGATCGTTTTAAAGGGATAGCTTGTGTTTCAAGTAGTTTGTGTTCACACATCAACAAAATGGAGAGACAAAGAGGAGGTTAAAGAAGTACACCTTGCTATTAGCAGAGTACTAAATATACTAAAAAACTAATGTTTTATGCAAATTTCACCTAAAAATAAATTCAATATACTCACTGAAAGGAGAGTTCTCCAGAAGAAAACGGCAAATGAAACAATTCCCAGTAAGACTGTAATAATTATAGGCTCCCAGGGCATTCCACGAAAATCAGCACCAGGTCGAATATCCTCAGGTAATGTAGCAATCAACTGAAATATCAATGTTGGAAATGATGAACAAATTTGAGAGAAATTTCTCATGACACATTTACAATGAATCACAATAATACTAAATTATATTTCTATTATTTTACTCCCCCCTCAAAATTTCAATACCTCCGCTCCTACAAAATGAAGTTCAAATCCCTTGACTGACCGGCATTCAAGGTCTTCACAATCTAAACAGAAACTACATTTATAACCTCATTTTCCCCTCTCTGTTCTACAAAATGAGGCTTATATCACCAAAAATGATTTGCTGTCTCTTAAAAATACTTTTCAAATTTCCATTTCTTTTCAAACTCCCATTCAAATTTCCCATGGCCATTCAAATTTCAATTTCCCTTTGATCACACTATTTCATTGCCTCTTTAAGCTACCATCCCCAAACCTGGGAAATGTCCAACTGCTGTTTCTTGTGTGCTGTTACTATTATCATCATAATTGTTATTATTATAACCACTAAGGTTGTTAGAGATCATTCCTTCCTCTGCATTTCTAGAGCACTCGATGTCTAGACTACTTATATTAAATTGTTGGTGCCTTTTATTGTTATCTTTGCATCTTAACTAGACTAAAAGTTTCTTGAAAGCATGAATCCTACCTGTCAAATTTTTTGTATGCCCTTCAAAGCAAAGAGAATATAAATGCCATCTTTTTTAAAAAAAAATTTTTTTATTGATATCTTTTGTTCTTTAAATCACCATGATTTCTTCTAATATCCCTCTTCAGATAGTGGGGGACAGAAAATACTCAATAAATACCTGTTGAATGATTCAACCTCTTCATATAAATCAAATACTAGGGAGCAAACAAGACTTCAAAAATGAAAAGGTAAGTCCATATCATACATACAACTCATCAGCCCAGTAGAAAACATGAAAGGACCACAAAGCAAATACATAATTTCATTAATCAGGATAGAATCTCCATAGTGCTGGTGGACATATGCTAAACATCTAAAATTCTATACTATATTAATAATAAATATGAAAAGAAAAAGATGGGGGCAGATCTCATTACCTCATTTTAGCTAGGCTGAACTCAAATAAAGTGAATAGATGAAATAGAGGTTTTCAACTTTCCAAACTTTGTCACAGATTTTTCCCTTTCTACACCTCTGAATCCATAGATTCTTTAAATGCATCAAGTTTCTAACAATGGCTCCCATAGCAATGGCAGTCTATAAAGCATCTGTGTGGGAGATAGGAAAGTGGGAGGGATTGTGGGGAATGTTATTTTCCAAACTCAAGTTTACCACATGTAAGGCACTGTGGTAGGTCTTATAATATAAAGATAAAATGGAAAAGGTCCTGACCTCCAAGAATTCACAATCTAACATGGGAGTAAGACATATACAAATATCCAGACAGCAGAATGAGATAACTGCAAAGACACAAACAAGATGCTATGGGAAGAGTGAAGCAGGGTAAATCACTTCCAGGTGAGAGAAGAGTTCAGGGATAAAGAAGTTGGCATCAAACAGAGAAGGACTTTGAAAGAAAAGGATTTCTACAGACTAAGATGAAAGAAGAGTGAATGTATTCCAGCATAGGGTCTGCACAAAAACATGGAAAGCGTAATTAATATTCCAGTTAATATTGGTTGGAATACAGGGTACAGCAGATGAATGAGAATTGTGTATTATCACAATGCAATTCTATCTTACTTCCAGGTTAGGAACTGTCTCTTCTCAATGTAGAGTGACATGTTACCTGAAACTACTCTTTAAAAGTTTGCTGGGGTACTGAGAAGATAATTAACTTGCCCAGGATACAACAGCCAATCTATATCAGAGGAAGGACCTGAACATATGCCTCCCTGACTCAGGCCAATACTATAACCATTACAAGACATTGCCTCTCAGCAACACAATTAAGAAAGCCAAATATAATGAATAGAAAGAAATGCAGAAAGATCCTATGTGAAGCAATACACCTGAAGAAATAAGAATTGGAAAATCAATGTATGTTGAATTTAATTACATAAAAAACTGTGAAAATACATACATGAATGGACAAACATCATAAAGGGGCATGGAGTTATAGTTTCTTTTATATGTTGATATTCACTTTTCAAACATAAACTTCACTTGCCCATTTAAAGTTTTCATGCTTAAAGTTAATACACTCTTCAAAGAATTCAAATAAATGAGTAAAATAAGTCACCTTCTCACCTGAAGCCAAAATCCTAGATAACATACATTGACCTAACTTTTAACAACCATTAATGCCAGTTTCAAATCAAGTGCTCAAAAAACACTCCAAGAAAAATAAAAACTTTTATGCAACATGAAAAAGCAGAATAATTTATATCAATAGTTATAGCCAAATAACCAAAGCATACCTTTTGGTTATCCCTCTTTTTTAGCTATTATGTAAAGTTAGTACTTAGTATAAATTTTATCTCCCCTTGAGAGCTTTACAGTCTCAAGCACATACAGTGGACTACCTAAAAACACAAAGTTACTAAGAACCTCTCACTTTTAAAAAAATTTAACCTCTGGCTTGGTTTTCCAAACAATTCAAAAATGGTGGTATTTCCTTTTGGGAGAGAACTGAAAAGGGAGAGGTAAAGAAGGAAGGAAAAAAATAGGGAGTTATATTAAACTCTAAGATAAGTCACCCAGAAGCTACAAACATGTTTTCATGGTGTGGTATTACATTGAAAAAACAACTGGATATAACTGGGTTTGAGTCCAAGCTCCAACACTGCAAGCAAGTACCCTCTTTCTGGGCTGTAGTTTCTTTATTTATAAAGTAAGATTAGACCAGATGACCTCTATTGTCCCTTCTGGCTCTCAAGTTCTATAAAACAGCTCTCCCAAGACCTTTTCAGGGGGTACATGAGGTCTAAATGATTTCATAATAAAAAGACTTTTAAATTCCTAACAATGTATATACATATAGAGGGATAGATAGATAAATATAAGCCACATAAACAAAAGCTCTTTGGGGATGGTGGTTGTCAATAATTCTTAAGCATATAAAGGGGTCATGAAACCAAAAAATTTGAGAACCACTACTATAAAGCTGTGATTCATGTAGTGTGTAAAATACAGTGAACAAACAGCATGCAAAAAAACAAACAAACCAACCCAAAGTATTAAGCCTGGTTTCCTAGAGACTTAATAAACTAAGGACAGAATTGTCTAGGCATCAAACTCTTGGCTCTTGGGCCAACTCCTGAGTGCACTCCATGCCAGATGAAAATGTAACTGGGAAATGCTGAACAAAATAAATACAAATACAATACAACACAGATGTTAATTTCTGGTATCAAATCCCATAAGCTTCCATTTGAGTTTGATACCAATGACCATTGCATTTTTTTTGATAGACTCATTTTGTGATTTAGAGTTTTACTTTATCAGGGGAGAAGTGAGGAAAAAGCTGTTAATCAAGTCTGAGGGAACAGCAGATTGTACTTCATTAACATCTCTTCCTATCCCTTTCATATTTTTTTAAATGTTACAAAGCAAATGCAGGAAATAAAAAGGACAACAGAAACTCTCCCAACTCATTCTTACAAGTCACTGACCTCAGGATAAAAGAAAATTTCTACAGCCATCTTAAAACATCTTATTTTATGTGCATACCCTTTGATCCAGCAATAGCACTTCTAGGGTTGTATGCCAAAGAGATCATAATAACAGGAAAAGAACCCACATGTACAAAAAGGTCTATGATGGCCAAGAATTGGAAATTGAGGGAATGCCCATCAACTGGGGAATGGCTGAACAGGTTGTGGTACATGAATGTAATGGAATGCTATCATGCTATAAGAAATTAGCAGGCAGACTTCAGAAAAACCTGGAAAGACTTGTATGGACTGATGCTGAGTGAAGTGAGCAGAACCAGGAGAACCACTGTACACAGTAACAGCCAAGCTGTGTGATGACTAACTTTGACAGACTTAGCTCTTCTCAGCAATGCAAGGATCTAAGACATCTCCAAAGGCTTCGTGATGGAAAATGCCATCCATATCCAAGGAAAGAACTATGGAGTTTGAATGCAGATTGAAGCATACTATTTGTTCTTTTTTTCCTTCTGTTTTGTTTTCTCTTTCTTGTGGTTCCTTCAATTGGTTCTAATTCTTCCTTACAACATAACTAATGTGAAAATATGTTTAATAGGAATATATATGTAGAACCTATATCAGACTGCAAGCTGTCTTGGGAAAGGAGGGGGAGAAAAATTTAAAACTCAAAAGCTTATGGAAGTGATTGTTGATAAATCAAAATAAAAAAAATTCTTATTTTAAGATAACAAAACAGTAGAAAGACATCAGTGATTTAAAAGTAAAACTTGAGTTTTAGGAATATTATTTACATCTACTTTCATGCCAGCATAAGGCACAAAGTAAAACCTATTTATTTACTAATTCAGCACGAATTTAACTTTTGTGGAAGCAGATGAGCCTCAAAGGAGCAAGAAAAATCAAGATCACAATAAAAACAACACTACCTTCAAAAGACAAAACAAAAAAGTCTACAAGATTTCTCTGTCATTTGATCTGTACTTAAAGTTCCTTTTTGGAACTGGTAAAGATACATGTAACTTTTCTGCATTACAGATCCCCCGAGGACTGGTTGCAGACAGGTTTCCCCAATTTTAACTAAATTCTCACTTCTTCAAAACTCTATTCCTGAACTCCATCCATTTTTCTTGAAAACAAAAGATAGGATATAATACACCAGCATTCCTTGTGAAAGGCCCCCCCACACACACACACACGACAGCAGCATGCTTTCCTCAAAACACACACAACATAGACACCCACAAGACTCACACTCTTGTGACAACACGCTTCTCCTCAAGACACACACATACACATAACCCCCCCCAAACACACACCACACACACACCCTGAAGACACACACACCCCTGTGACAGCAGCACGCTCCTTCGTCAAGCTGCACAGGGAAGCACCAGTCTCTTCGGAAAAGAAGAGGCCAAGGCCACCTCCACATAGGGCCGGCCTCTGGGCCAACGAGTCGGTTACCTTTCCCCGGGGGAGCAGGCCTCTCCTTCCGGACCTCCGGGGCACCTGCCCCTGCCCGTCCGTCCGCTCTTCCTGGCACCCCACTCCCACAGCAAAGCCTCTCCGTTCCCTCCCCCGTCCCCCACCCAAGAGGTTCCAGTGGTCACCTCCAGAAACTTGGCCAGGAGGGCGGCGTACAACATGGACACGGGGCCCAGCAACTCGGGGGTCCCCGTAGTGGCGGCCGACGGCCCAGTCGGGGCGGTCGCCGTCTCCATCGCCCCGGCGGTGAGGCTGGAGCACGGTAAGCCCCCTCAGCCCTAAGCGGCAACGACCTTCCGGGGTCTGGGGTCCCCCGTCGCGGCTTCCTCCTCCCCGACGCCCAAGTCGGGTGACCGGAGAGTGAACTTTGCCACCTTTCGCTTCCCTCCCCCAAGCAACAACACGTCAACCGGACCGGACCTGACCCCAAGCCGGTCTTGGCCCCGCCCCTTCCCACTATGGCGTCAGCACTTGGCGCCGCAGTCACAGCGTCCCAGGCAAAGAGCGCGACACTCGGAGGAAACCGGTTCGAGGGGGGAGGGGCCGGCCAGGTCCGGGCAGAAGAAACCAACTGGAAGACTAGGAGGGGGAGCGGAAGAAAAAAACTGCCATTCTAACCGATACGGGACGGGACCATTATGAGATCGGGAGGCTTAGAACTTCAAACTTCCAGAAGCAAAAAGAGGTGGGGAAAACCCTAGAACGAGTCTGGGGGGGGCGACTGAAGAGCCAATCAGAGAGCTGGAACCCAGGGGGCGGAACAGAAGAGTATGGACGCGCTCCAACGCCTTAGGCACTTGTTGGCGCTTCCTCCTCACTAAAATCATAAAGTGGCAGGATTCGGGTCAGCGGAAAAGACATTAAAGATGACAAATTACCTTCAGCTTTGCCGTTTTACCCTAAAGGCCGGGGGCTCTCCCTCGGACTTGCAGCTGAAACCTTCCATAACTACAGTCTCCCCCATTAGAATGTGAGCTCCATGAGGGTAGGGACTGTCTCTTTTCTTTGTATCCCCAGGGCTTTGCACACAGCAAGCGCTTAATAAGTGCTTTATTCATTTATTCTCCCAGTTATTAATGCTTCCCTTCCAAAATACTGCTACCTATCTAGATGCGGGTACCCCACCCCTCTAGAAGCTCCTTGAGGACGGGGCCTGTTTGAGTCTTTTTGTTAGCGCCAAACACAGTTGCTTTGCACGTGTTTGTTTTATACTAGTCCACACAAAACCTTCAAAACCCGGCCCCTCCTACCTGTCCAGTCTTAAGACACCGTAACCGCCCCCCACCCCACCCCCACATACTGGTGAGTTCAAGACTCTGGCCTCTGAGAATTTTTACTGGCTTGGAATACTTCTGCTTATCTCCCATTCTTTGGCCTCCTTCAAGTGCCAGCTAAAATCCCTTCTTTAGCAAGGCTTTCCTAGTCCCCCTTAATGCCTTCCCTCTACCATCGCCAATTTATCTGCTATATACCTTGTTTACACACAAATGTTTTCATTCTGTCTGGTTAGCTGGTGAGCTCCATGAGGATACGACTTGCCTTTTGGCGTTCTCTGAATCCTCTGTGTTTAGCGCATACAGCAGGCACTTAGTTTATGTTTAGTGACTGACTGACTGGAAACTCCTACAAATGCACCTGCACAGCCTCCTATGAATTAAGCATTTATTTATTGTTTATTATGTGCAAAGCACAGTGTTGAGAGCAGGGGTTTTTAACCTAGGGATTTTGACAACTGTACTTTAATTAGTATTCCTTATAATAAACATATTTTGTGCGTTTAAAAACATTCTGAGGAATCCCTAAGGGGATCTATGACACAAAAAGTGTTAAGAACCCCTGCTTTAAGGTCTCAGAGGATTACCTGGACCACTGAGAGGTGATCACACAGCTAGTGTGTATCAGAAGCCAGACTAGAATCTAGGTCTGAGGATAGCTCTCTTCATTATGCCACCCTGCCTCTTGTCTTGATCACAGTAGGTGCTTAATAAATGTTGGACTGACTTGGCATTAATCTCTCTGGACATCAGTTTCCTAACATATGAAAGGAGAGTTGGACTAGAAGGATTTCTAAGTACCTTTCAACTCTAAATCTGTTGCCTAGGGAGAGAGAGAGAGAGAGCAAAGAGGAAAACCACCCCAAACTGCCACAACAAGCAAGAATCCTTCAGGCCATAATGTTACCTCAGGAGACAAGGCTGCTCCAGCATTTTCGCTGGATGACAGAGGGTTAAAGAGTTCCCACTGAAAGAAACCAAAAACTACTCCTTTAGAATAATGTTCTAATTCCTGTAGGAGGCCTCCTTTAACCATCCCCAACAAATCTTTGTCATCCTCCTTTCCTGACTTCCTATTGTACTAACTTAACTGTCCCCAACTCAAATGTTTCTAATGTCTCTCCCCAGTCTTTCTTTTTTCTTTTTTATTTTTTTTGGATAAGCAATGGGGTTAAGTGACTTGCCCGGGATCACACAGCTGGTGAGTGTTATGTGTCTGAGGCCGAATTTGAACTCAGGTCCTCCTGAATCCAGGGCCGGTGCTCTATCCACTGCGCCACCTAGCTACCCCCACCCCCCAGTTTTTTTACCTATGCAAGTTCAACCCCTCCAGAAACTGTTAAAGCTGAAAAAAGAGAAATTACTAAAATACAGAATGGCCCTTAAAAAAGAAAAACAATAAAACCGATCAACAATTAACATTTAATCTAAGAAGAGAAAGAAAATCAAAATACCAACACTAGAAATAGTAAAAGAGGCAAAAAACATGAATCTATAAGCTTTGACTTTAATCACACACCTCCTCTTCTACTTAAGTCACTTCCATTAACTTGGGAAATGAACATCTAGCTTCAAGAAGATGGTATGTAAGACTGGGATTTGGTTTTCTCGCCTATATGTAAAATACAGCATAACAAATTCCTGGCAAAAGATAGAGGGGACCTTGAAAAAAAAAAGGCTAGTAAGATTATGTATTTGCCTAGGGTCTGCAAAGGTTTTTGTTGTTGTTGTTTAATGGCAAAGAAAAAATACTACCTAAGTAGAGGCCACCAGAGTAGACACAATAGAATACTTAATAACAATAAGGAACTAATAGCATGAGACTCCCAGAAATCACTGGAGACAAAATCTAAGGAAAAAACCAATGCTGAAATCCAAGAGGAAAATCGCAAAGACTAAAATTCTGTGGGGGAAGTCAGCCTGAGATGAATAGGAAATTCTGAAAATGTCGATGAATAGGAAATTCTGAAAATGTCAAGGAATACAATTCGGAAGTTAGTGAGAGTGGGGGGACAGGGGAAACAGGAGCTGTCTACAGTTTGATATGAACGTACATGGAACTCAGCAACAAGCACAGATCTTTAAAAGATAGAGATACTGGAATGAGGGCAGCTAACGGAAACAATATAAGATCCTATTATGGTACTGTAATAATAGTGTCAAGAGTGCTAAAGCTTGGAATATTACTTGGCTGGAAAGAAAAGGCAAGGCCCACAACAGAATCTTTGGCCATATTATAGGGGGAAAGGGGGATGACCCAAGAAGAAATAGGCAGAGACCTTGGGGTGCTTTGGGGGGACTGGTAACAACTGAAAACAGAGAAAAGACAGTTACTCAATTCATATTTTAGTTTTGTTTTCTCTGCCAAGGGAAATGGCCTTCCCACTGAAAATGACAGGACAAACATTACTAATGGAGAGTTGGTACCCAAGGTAAATAGAGAATACAGTAAGAAAGCAACCAGCTGTCCTTGACAGATTCAAGTTGCCAGACCCAGATGAACTGCATCCTTGAGTACTGAAAGGACTGGTGGATGTTATAACAGAGCTTCTGTCAATGATATCAGAGAGGTTGTAGAAAATGGAGGAGGGGATTGGAAGTCAATTGGTGTCTAGTTTGTTGTTGTTGTTGTTTTTTAATAAAAAAAAAATGGGCTCTACAAAGTATAGGTAAGTGAATTTGACTTGGATTTCCAGGAAATTTCTACCATTGATCATTCTTTAATAAATGGTTAGTGAGGATCTAAGAAAAGGATCAAAAGTAGGTCATGCCTGGCTAACCTTATTTCTCTCTCATGCTTTTTTTAACAGATTACCATAAAATCTGTAGCTCAGAGAAATGCCACATAGATGATACAGTTTACTTAAATTTTAGCAAAACTTGGAATAAAGTATCCCATAACAGTCTTGTGGGTAGGAAGGAGAAATGTAAAGGAGACAACAATATTATGAGATAGATTTGGGACTAGTTCTATGATCAGACTCAAAAAGTAGTCATTAAAACTTAGTTTGATATCAACTTGGAAGGTCTCCATTGGAGTCCATCAGGGATTTTTCCTGTACTTAAACTGTTTAACATTTTTATTAATGACTTCAATAAAAGTATGATAGAATCCTTATCAGACTTATAAATGACACGAAGCTAGGAAGGAATACTAATGTACTAGATGATAGGCCCTTTTTTCAACATCCAGATTGTTGTCTTCCCCTATTAGACAGTATATCAGTCAATCAAGCATTTATCAAGTGCCTACTATGTGCCAGGAACTGTGCTAGGCTCTAGGGATACAAATTGTTATATAATTTTTTTATCCCTCATGACCAGTATCACAATATGTATGTAGAGCTATAAATACTAATTGAGTGATTCTTCAGTAACTGGGGTCTGTTAAGTACTTTTTTTTTAAGGGTTGAAGTGTCTAATTTCACTAATCTGTATGTTAAATTTAGATATCTTAGCATTAACAAATGACAGCTTTTAGTTTTCTGTGGCATGCTGGTATTGTAGAAATAGCACTGGACTAACAGGTAAAGGGATCAGAAAATGAGATGCTCAGGTGAGGGACGAAGTACCTTCCATGCATGGGGACAGCCAGTGAAAAGGCACGGAGATAGGAGATGAGGAATGGGAAGAAGATGGGTTTATCTAGACTGCAGAGCACATAAAAGGAAGCAATGTGTAATAAGGCTGGAAAGGTAGGCTGGAGTCAAATTGTGAAGGGCTTTAGATGCCAATCAGAGGAGATTATATTTGATCCTAGAGATGAAAGAGAACCACTGGAGTTTATTGAGTAAGGGAATAAAAAAGCCAGATCTAAGCTTAAGGAAATCACTTTGGCAGCTATATGAAGATGTGATCAGGATATGAACTTGGGGTATATGAATACACAATGCAACAGATGTTGTAGAGGAAGAAACAAGATTTTGTAGCTGCTTAGATATGCAGTGGGAGTAACAGTGAGTGAGGAGTTGAATCATGAAGCTGAGATTATGTGACTGGAAAGATGATGGTATTCCTCCACAGAAATAGGGAAGTTTGGAATAGAAGAGTATTTGAGGGGAAAGATAAGGAGTTCTGTTTTGGACATATTGATTTTGACATGCCTATGGAATATCTAGTTCAAAATGTCGAGTAAACAGTTGA